TTCTGCAGCTGTGCAGCCTTCACCACTCTCTGCAGAGCTTTTCTTTCTGCAGCTGTGCAGCCTTCACCACTCTCTGCAGAGCTTTTCTTTCCTTGTATAACAAGCGACATGCACATCAGATGACTTTTGGTGTACAAGTCTCTTATCGGCCTGCTTCCACATTATTTATATACTTTTACTGGAAGAACGGACCGTAGTTGTCTCGCGCTCTAAGGACTGTTTGCATCTTTTTGTTACTCGTGTGCGAACAGAAAAGGAAAGAAAGTGTTTAGCTTCTGCCCCTCAGCTTGGAATGCCTTGCAAGCTGAATCCAAATGTCAGAACTTTATTTTATGTGCTTTTTGCAAACTTTTACAAAACCGACAATGGATATCTTGTCAACAGTGCCTGTGTTTTAGATCTTAAATTGTCTTAAATTAATATTATTACAATTATTGCACTTTACTGTTATATTGTCTGTTTTTATATATTTCTGAAGTCCTGTTCTGATCGTTGCTCGTTTGATTTTATGACGGGTCTCTGCCTTTTCTTGGCCAGCTCACCCAATCTTGATCTCAGTGTTTTGTTTTTTTAATCTGGTTAAGTAAAGGTTTGATAAATAAAAAAAGTAGAAAAGTGTTAGTTAAAAGTGGAAATTATAATGTACAAGTTGAAAAAGACTGGTTAAAAAATATCAGAAAGCTGCACTGAAGCTAAAAGTAGCTAAAGGATGGCTATAATGGTGAACGGGCTGTCTAGAAATTAAAAGTAGCTAAATGCTAACTGAAAGAAACAAGAAGCTGCGCCTAGACCCCAAACGTATCGAGTGTTGGCTAAAACAGCAACATTCTAGCTAAAAGTAGCTAAAGGTTAGCTAAAAGGAAAACAAGAAAAGAAAGCACATTTCTCCCCAGTGAGCTGAGTGTTATGTTAAATTGTCCAAAGTATTCAAAAATAGTTCGATATGATGCGGTCTAAAGAGCAACAGTGTGATGTAAGCCCTTTGTTACGTTAATACTCCGTGGACCTGAACGTGGACACGCTCGTGCAATGTAACGGTCACCGTTTCTGTATTTTCCGACAGCGCTTGAACGCAGCGCGACGGCTCGAACGTTACAAAGTTCTTTTGTCCGTTTCTGCAGGTTTTATTAAAAACAGGAGAAAGAACTGATTTTATTCTTGTTCTTCTAACAGGACGATTCAAAACACGTTAAACTGAGTTGATGTTGGCAATAAACGGAACTTTATTCTGTAAACTTAACGTTAAACCTTGTGTAAGGAGGAGGCCGAACACAAGAACTTTCTTTCGGTTTGTTTCCATTAGAGGGGGGGGGGGGGGAATTCCTCTGGAGCTGGGGGGGAGGGGGTGAGGGGGGACTTCCTACTTCCTCCCATCCTCCTCCTGCAGCTAAAACCAAGATTTACGGGGAGAACTGGACTCTGCGGCCACAGAGCCCAAGTTGTTCTCGAACACTTTTCCCGGGAGTTCTGGAGACACGGAGGAGGCGAAGTCCCCGGAACCATCGACCGGAGCGGCGGGAACGGAAAGGAAGACATGTTGGATTGAGTTCGGACCGGGAACATCAACGGAAGAACCGCAGAAGGTAAAGTGTTGCGTTTACTGACATCCACGTCTGTGGCCGTTGGTTAGCCCGCTGAGCTAACAGTTCCCTGCAGAGTCCGTGAAGCAGCATGTTGTCCCTGAACGAGTCTTGGAGTCTCAGTGGGACTCAGTTGTCCCTGAACGAGTCCTGGAGTCTCAGTGGGACTCAGTTGTC